TGGACCAGGAGGGCTGGAAGGAAGGGTCAGCTTCCCACTCCCCACTGTGACCTCCACAGCCTCCAGCACAGGGCTTGGCTCGGAGGGTACTGGGGATACAGAAATGAGTTAGACCCAGTCCTTACCCCCAGGACCTCCTCATTCTGGTGTAGGTGGGCACCCTGATCAGTGATGTAATGAAGGGACTCATGGAGGAGTGACACCTGATGCATTTAAGGTGCCACCTTTGTCCTTGGGGAGAGAGACTATACTGAAATGTTGTAGTGGTGGCCCCATTCCTTTGGAAGAATGTCACCCCATTGTAGAGATGACAGGCAGCCTGAGACAATGCCCTGGAGCAGGTGGGAGAGGGGCTGTCCACATCAGATAAGCAGGTCCCTTCCATCCTGGGCACCCAGGGCCTGTGATCATCGGGTGCGGTGATCAGGAATTACATCCCAGAGAAGGTGGACTTCCCAGGAACAATGGGATTTCATCAGGTGGGGGTGAGAAGAAAGGGATTTGCAGGCAGACTGCCCATGAAGAGAAAGACCAGGAGGTTGGAAGGTGTGGTGGATGGCTGAACTCACATGGGGATGTGGGTGGCATAGACTCTGGCTTTATCAACTGAGGACTTTTGATTTGAATTCACCCTGCACTCCCAAAGTTTCCTCCTTCCATCCTGTGGACCCGGGGGCTCTCTGAGAATTTCCAGTGCAGACAGGTCCAGCTGAGGAGAGTGACAGGCTAGCACTTCAAGCTGTGTGCAGAACTGAGTCCAGAACTAAAGGCTGCTGCGATCCCCCAAGCTGCCCTGCTGTGACAGCATCGACCGAGCAGGAAGAGGAAGGAACACCATCCAAATTTCCTGGCTAGTCAGAAATCTTTCAGCACTGAAACCAACCAGCCTCCAGTGTTTCTCTGAGCCCGCTACCACTGTAGCCCAGGACTAGGCACCCCAAAACCCCAGGAGCCATCTGACTTGCCCAGTGGACTGAGTGCCAGACTGAGATTTCCAGACTGTTGCCTAGGAGGACTGTATGAGTTTTCTGCTGCTGCTGTAAAAANCACCATCCAAATTTCCTGGCTAGTCAGAAATCTTTCAGCACTGAAACCAACCAGCCTCCAGTGTTTCTCTGAGCCCGCTACCACTGTAGCCCAGGACTAGGCACCCCAAAACCCCAGGAGCCATCTGACTTGCCCAGTGGACTGAGTGCCAGACTGAGATTTCCAGACTGTTGCCTAGGAGGACTGTATGAGTTTTCTGCTGCTGCTGTAAAAATTTTCACTGGTCTGCAGTCAAGGTGTTTCTGGGGCCAGGCTCCCTCTGGAAGCTCTAGGGAAGAACCTGTTTCCTTGTCTTTTCCAGCTCCTAGAGCTGAATTCCTCACATTCTTTGGTTCCTTCTTCCATCTTCAATGCCAAGTAGAGTGGCATCTAGCTTCTCTGCCTTCTGTGTCAAATCTCCCTCTACCTCCTTCCTAGAAGGACACTTATAAGTACAGGATAATCCAGGATGATCTCCTGTAATTCTGCAATGCAATCCTGCTGCTCACCACCCAGTCAGTGCGGACCCCACGCACAGATTAAGGGCACTGTCCCCAACGAGACTGTCCTCACTTTAGACACCAGCTGCAAACTTGGGGATCCCCAGGCCACCCACTCTTCGGGCCAACTGACTACAGTCTGGGGGTTTTCATGACCCCTTCAGGTTTCATAATTAACTAGAATGACTCCTAGAATTCAGGAAAACAGTATACTTATAATTACAGTATTATTATAAGGGATCCAAGTCTCACCAAATAGAGAAACATAGGACAAGGTCTGGGAAGGTCCTGAGCACAGAGCTCCCATACCTCCCCTGTTGGGAAAATAGAATGGTTTGGTCAGGACCCTCACCTTGGGTCCAGTTGGGTGTGGTTCAGCACATCCTTTGTAAGCAAATTGTGTGTGTGTGTGTGTGTGTGTGTGTGTAGTGTGCATGCACACCAATGTATCTTTTTAGTTTTGTTGCTATTCTTGTGTTCTTGAGAGTTGCTGAAGCAGGCTGGCTGGCAGTTTACTGCCTCTGGTGGCTGTCACCGCTACAGGCAGCCATGCTTTCCAATCTGCGGCTTCCAAGGACCTGTTTGCCGGTTACCTAGCTCATGGACCTGTCTGTAAGGGGTCTGGTGACCCAGCCTGGCATGTATGGGGTCTGGTGACCCAGCCTGGTATATGAAGGGTTTGTGACCCAGTCTGGATAATGGGCTTGAGGGGTCTGTGAGCTCCAGACCCAGCTCTAGCTCGACAATCGGCCCAGTCGGTGCAGGATTCCTGGCAGGTAAAAGAGCCCAACAACTGGCGTGGTCGTGTAGCTTTACAATTGGCGTCACGAACAAGATTAAGAGCGCTACAACTGGCGATGTCGACAGGATTCCAACATTAGCCCTAGCGCCATACTCACCCCATTGAATCAGGACATGCCACCCTCGCCACATGGCGATGTGTTTCCCAGGCAGGAAGTTCCACTGAAAGTGAACACACTTTGGTATTTCGGGAGATTTTGTTGGGGTCTCATTACATAGGCAGGATTGATGGAATCATTGGCCGTGGGATTGAACTCCATCTCCAGCCCCCCTCCCCTTCCTGGATGTCAGGTGGCTGAAAATCCCAGACCTCTTGGTTAGTCTTTCTAGCACGACCAGCCCCATTCTGAGCCATCACCTCAGGTGTGGTCCAAGGGCCCCCAGTGAATAATAAAGACACTCCTATCACTTGGGTAATTCTGAGTTTAGACACTTCCTGCCAGGAACCAGGGGCAAAACATGAGACAATTTTTTTCTATACTACTACCTCTTCTCATCTCAAAATTTATAATCACATCTACAAAGTCTCTTTTACCATATAAGATGACACTCACAGGTTCCAGGGATCAAGACATGGATATCTCTGGGGGCCATTCATCACACAGCCAGGCACAAGGAGGAACCAGCTGACAAACAGTCTCACAGATGGGACAGCAGCCACAACACTTACCCAGTTGTCTGAGTGCTTGATGAGCTGGGTTAACCAATGGTCTGGGGCATTCACAGATAGATTCTAGTCTCATTTACTGATGATGAGATGGAGATCCCTGACCGACTGAGGAGCGACAGAGGCAGACTGACAGCAAGACCTCTGCCTGGACAGATTGACAGCAGGCAGACTGACTTCAAGTCTGATAAGCTCCAGGGCAGGCCCCAAGGTGCTGGCATGGGGTGCCTGGTTGTGGGAGGGGGGTCCGGTCCCCTTCGGAAGGAGAAAAATTAAGCAAACATAAAGATAGGTCAATTGAAGTTACCCAGTCTGAGAAACAGAAAGAAAATAGAATGAAGAAAAATCAACAGAGCCTTAGAGACCTGCAGGATACCATCAAACATGCCAACATACATATAGAGGGATAGAATATAGAGGGACAGAAATAATATTTGAAGAAATAATGGCTAAAAACTTGGCAAATTTGATGAAAAGTGTTAGTCTAAACATCCAGAAGCAGAGGATTCCAAGTAGGATAAACTGAAAGAGAGTTACACTAGATAGAATTCAAATTTTGTTGGAGATTCTAGCCACTACAATTAGGAAAGAAAAAGAAAAGACATCCAAAATATTGGAAAGGAAGAAGTAAAACTATCTTTGTTCCCAGATAATGTAATCATTTGTGTAGAATATCTACTGGAATCTCTAAAAGAGCTAGTAAAATTAATAAGTGTGTTTAGCAATGTTGCAGTATACAAGAACAATATACAAAAATTAATTATATATTTACTAGAAATGAACCATTGAAAATAGATATTTTAAATTCCATTTAAAGTAGCATAAAAATGAAATACTGGGGGTTGGTTGCTTAGCTCGTCAGTTAGAATGCAGTGTTATTACAGCAAGGCCAAGGATTCAGATCCCCATACTGGCCAGCAGCCAAAAAAAAGAAAAGAAAAGAAAAGAAAAATACTTAGGGATAAATCTAACAAAAATGGAATATACTGATTCTACATATATTGCTGAGAGAAATTAAAGAGGACCTAAATAAATTGAAATATGTACCCAGGTAATAGAGAAAGGGACTAGACCCCCCTCCCACCACGAGGCACCCCATGCCAGTGCCCCAGGGCCCACATGGGGACCTGGGTTATGGAGCCAGGGACCGGACGCCCCCTCCCACAACCAGGCACCCCATGCCAGCACCTTGGGGCCTGCCCTGGCACATGGGGCATGGAGAAGGGGACTGGTCCCCCTTCCCACAACCAGGCACACTGTGCCAGTGCCTCAGAGCCCACCTAGGGACCCAGGGTAAGGAGCTGGGGACTGGACCCCCCTCCCACAACCAGGCACCCTGCCAGCACCATGGGGCAGGCCAAAAACATCTCCTCCATGTGGGTGGCCCACCACAGCCACCATGATAACCATGGCCACCGTGAAGGTGGCTAGATGCCACAACCACCACACAGATGGTCCTCCAGCCATTGGAGTGCACTGACACAAGGAGAGTCACCAGCAGAGAT